TCTACTCTTGGTCCGGCCCCCGGGTCCAATATATGAACCCATTGCGGCCCTCAAGTCAAAAAGTTTGCCCACCCCTGAGCTAGAGTGTCAATGTATTGGCAGTGGGTGGATTCCATAGCCTCTATTCAGTCCAATATTGTTCTGGAAGTTGCTGTAGGTAAAGTATAGGGAACACTGACAAACTTCATAGGGAGAGTTTAGGGTCAGTTAGGCTACTGTACTATAATATCTTTGGGCAATCAACCATTTTTTTGTTCTTATTATTGGAGGCTTTTCCTCCTTCATTTTATCTTATGGTTGATTTGAAGTTAGTGATTACTTTTAGCTGCTTTATCAAAGTGAAGCAAAGCTGGCGCTCACCAACCCAGTTCATTAGTATGTAGATGAATGTGGCCTCAGGCAGTGCTGCTCCAGCTATGCCCCCCTGACATGTTTTGCCCTGCTCACTGAGGCTTGGTCACTGAGGGGTGAGGTGAAACATGACAGGGGGCGTAGCCTAAGCAGCGCAGGCTGAGGCCACATTCATCTACAAGCTAATGGGGTTGGCTGGTGAGCACCAGCTTTGCTTCTCTTTGATAATGCTCTGAATGGTGCACTGATGTCAGCTCTCTTCACTGCAACTGGTGGGAAGATCTCTGTCTCAGTTTAGATCACACTGCATTTGCTGTTAGCTGCTGTCCCATCCATAGCAAACCCCCCAGTTTTGGTGCAGCAACCGATTTTAAAAGAACAACCGCCAGGCCCCCCCCCCCCCCCCCCCCCCCCCCCCCCCCCCCCCCCCCCCCCCCCCCCCCCCCCCCCCCCCCCCCCCCCCCCCCCCCCCCCCCCCCCCCCCCCCCCCCCCCCCCACAGATAAGCAAACAGGCAGTAATTAAGACCAACTCAAAGTTTGGGGGGGGATGTTGTGTTAGCATTACCTTATTAATATAGTCAAATGTATTTTATATTTACTAATTGGTTGCTAAGATGAAGGCTGTTTGCATCCTAGCATTCAATGATGCATCACAATGAACTGACAGTGGATAGAGCTTGATGGAGAATCCTGGGAAATTAGTTCTTCATCAGAGCATGAAACGCATGGCAGTGGGTGGATTCCATAGCCTCTATTCAGTCCAATAGCAGCTTTGGAATCCACTCATTGCCATCCATTGTCAATCACAGGCAAGGCATACCAGTGAAGGAACTAGCCTCAGAGTTCCCCCATTAGGCTATGCCCACCCAACACTGAATTTCACAGATGCTGCACCTGTTGAGTGGGCAAAGCATGATGGGAAAAACTCTTAGACTAGTTCTCCATCATGATCACTGCACCTGTGATTGACAGTGGAGGGAAATCAGTGGATTCCAAAGGCCCTATTGGACTAAATAGCTACTATGGAATCTGCCCAATATGCTACCAACCAAAAGTAAAGCAGACCTTATGGAGAACTGGTCTCTCAATTTCCCATCAGGCTCTGCCCATTACTAGTACAAAACTCCTCAGCCATGTACCTGTCAGTGTGATAGGAGCAATGATCTGGGGATAGTGCTCTGAAGAAAGAATGTCCAGTATGGATTCATGTACCTGTCTCTGACACATACATGAATAGCTTGCAAGCACCATCACTTTCAATGCTGCACCCAGTTGGAATTATAAATGGTATCTATAACATCACTCACTCATATTATTCATATTAACCCCCTATTCCTAAAGATAAAATAAATATTAGGCTTACACTGGTCGGACCTGTTAACTCCGATGAAAACTGTTCTGCTGCTGACCAGTTTTGTCCCTCCTGGCAGTGCTCAGATTTCCATGCCTTTTTTGAGCAGAAACTTGCTGATAAGCCCCAAAATGGCCGGAATTTTTTAACAGAACCCCCCCTCCCCCAACCTTAAAATTTATTTGCATTTAAGTTTGGGTTTGCCATATTTCAATCAGATGAATCGAATCCCTCCAGATTCACCCATTCCTAAATATAAATATAATATACTGTACATGCAAAAAACACTACAAATTATCTTTATTATTGTTATTTTAAGACTTTTTCGTTACTCTGACTTGCATATTAATTCATATTACCATATAAATGAATTTAGAATATTATGTTTAATGAACATTACAGAAGGTTTAGCTTCATTTATGCATAATTAAGTAACTGGTACATTGCCTCAATTTTATGTGCTACCTTTTAATAATTTAATGCTTTTATTGTATTGCTATTTGCATGTTGGAAAACATAAACATGAAAAGTGCAATGCTGGAAAGCAGTAGCTATGATGCCCTTTGTAAAAGTGGTGATGTAAAAAAAATGTAATCATTCCAACCTGGCCTAATTAGATTCAGTGTGCCCCAGCAAAAACAAATTTATATTTTTATAATTGAAATATATAATTTTATCCTGAAAATTTTGGAATATTCAGTTTGCCAGTTTGATTTAATACCGAACTCCAAAGTAAGTTTAAAAGACATCTGCACTGGTTTGCTTAGTGTATGTCACTACTGCAAAAAAACGTTGCTAAACACAACAGGCAAAAGTATAGGTAAAGTACAACTTGCATCTTGTTTAGTGGTCTGCTAACATATTTTTGAACCCAAAGCATTCTCTAGAGTCACTATGATGTTCCTAGTAAAATTATGAACAGCATCCATTTGCAGTTGTTACAAAGTTAATTTACCAGGTTAGGCATGCATATTTAAATCTTTTATTTGCAGATTTACCAAGCAAGGCAACATTTTTAGTATTTTAAATAATTTAGATTACATGCCTAAAGCGAAACGTTTTCTTTAGTTCTGGATAGTGGTAAGTGGTTAGATGCTTTATCAGGTTTTTATTATTGTTCTCAGATTAATAATGTTTACTCTATCTATTTATATATCAAAACCCAATGTGTTCCCTGGTGTCAGCTGCTCACCTCAAATAATTATGCACAAAATCTGAAATCATTGTGACAGGCTTGTGCTCTGCCCAATCTAATAAATGTGAAAAGTACAATTTTATTGTGAAACGATAAGTGACAAAACAACAGATGTAAACTACACAAGCAATTAGTACAAAATAAATATCAATTTTCCCCAGGTTTGTAGTTTCAAATATACAATCTAAATTTTTCTTATTGTAGCATATACCTTCACAATGCGCACCACACACTACCATAGTGTAAACCTCCACCTACTGGGCATGCACTCATCAGATTCATCTGACTTGTAAGATATAGGCGGATCAAATACAGGCAAGACCTTTCTCCACTTTCATAAAAGGTAGAATTGACTTCTGTAGTTCAAAACCAACATGATAAGTTAAAAAAAAATCAGAAGCACATCATATCATAATAACATAATCTTCTTTTTAACAAATGTGTAACAGGATAAATACCACACAAAATATTCACACAATAGCTCTCTTCAAAATTGCATTCACATACTCCTTAGCAGTCAGCATCAGTCTCTCTACAAAACCAACTTCCACAAGTCTCCTGGATCACCAAACAGCATCAATGGCAGGAAGTCCCACTGTTTGCCGACATCATCAGGGCAGTTTACTATCTCTATTTGCCATAGTAAGTATAGTCACCAGGACTGAAAGCGAGGGAAAGTCCAAAATGTTGATTTGTTTCCAAAACAGAGGTGAAATCTTCCAATGAGGACACTTGTTCTGGTGTGGTTATGGTCTTGTCTAAAAGGGCAATTCCCTCACTTTGGAAAAAATGTTCTCTCTCCTTTTAAGCTGACTATACATTATACAATTTTGTTGTTCAATTTCCTTTAGATTTACCCTCAAGTATGTAGTGCAAGGGACTGCCTGGCTGCATATAAATTGAAAGTGTTTAGGTTTGACCTAATATTAAATGGTTTTCATAAATCTAAAGAAAAGTTGTACAAGAAAAATTGTATGTATAATGCATGGCCAGTTACTGTTTAGTATAAAGAATAGGAAGTGAAGTCAAATCACTCCAATTGGGCACTGACGGCAATAGAAAAGCTTGCCAGGGTTTTAACCTTTCTCTACTCCACCCAGAACTAAAAATATAACTGGGGGCTTTACTGTGGTTGTAAAGACTGGAGGTTTTTACATTCATGCATTCTATACATAAAGGTGAAAAACCTTATGTGTGCTGCTCCCCCTACAGCCCCCCCTAATACTCACCTAAGCCCCACCTTGATCAAGTAATGTACACAGGAGCCTTCACTGTCCTGAGTCTCATTATTGGCTGAGACACAGCCATTGGCTTCCAATGCTGTCAATCGCAGCCAGTGAGCTAATGAGAAGAGAGAGGGGGGCGGGGCAGAGCCATGTCTCTATGTGTCTTATGGATGCATGGCCACTTACTGTTTAGTATAAAGAATAGGAAGTGAAGTCAAATCACTCCAATTGGGCACTGACGGCAATAGAAAAGCTTGCCAGGGTTTTAACCTTTCTCTACTCCACCCAGAACTAAAAATATAACTGGGGGCTTTACTGTGGTTGTAAAGACTGGAGGTTTTTACATTCATGCATTCTATACATAAAGGTGAAAAACCTTATGTGTGCTGCTCACCCCTACAGCCCCCCCTAATACTCACCTAAGCCCCACCTTGATCAAGTAATGTACACAGGAGCCTTCACTGTCCTGAGTCTCATTATTGGCTGAGACACAGCCATTGGCTTCCAATGCTGTCAATCGCAGCCAGTGAGCTAATGAGAAGAGAGAGGGGGGCGGGGCAGAGCCATGTCTCTATGTGTCTTATGGATGCATGGCCACTTACTGTTTAGTATAAAGAATAGGAAGTGAAGTCAAATCACTCCAATTGGGCACTGACGGCAATAGAAAAGCTTGCCAGGGTTTTAACCTTTCTCTACTCCACCCAGAACTAAAAATATAACTGGGGGCTTTACTGTGGTTGTAAATAGAGATGAGCGAAGTATTCAAAAATTCGATTCGACTGATTCGGCGAATTCGTGGAAAAATTTCGATTCGAGTCGAATATATTCGCTGTGAATTTAACTTAAAAAAGGGTGTTTCTAGGCTTCAGAGAGACTTAATATTAGTGCTGAACACTGTACCTTTAATTTAAATGCCCTTGGAGTCTGCTGGGGAAGAGAAATAATACTGTCAGTCAGTATGACATGCAGATGAGTGCCGTCGATCTTAGAATCACCGCACACTTCACTCATTTGGGCAGTCACGGGGCCAAAACCAGAGTGTGGAGCCACAGTGTGGCGGTGGAGGCAGCAGCAATGGGAGGCCATACAGCACCCTATGACAAAAATGGAAACCACCAGCAGTGTGAGGAGACCTGAAAGTGGCACACCAACATGGCAGAGTGTGGCGATAGAGACAGCAGCAATGGGAGGCCGTTCAGGGACCCATGACACACTCTGGACCTGGCAGCAGCATGAGGAGGCGGTACAGGGGCCCATGACAGATTACGGGCCTGGCAGCAGCATGAGGAGTCGGTACGGGGGCCCATGGCAGATTACGGGCCTGGCAGCAGCAATGGGAGGCCGTACAGGGACCCATGACACACTCTGGACCTGGCAGCAGCATGGGGAGGTGGTACAGGGGCCCATGACAGATTACGGGCCTGGCAGCAGCATGAGGAGTCGGTACGGGGGCCCATGACACACTCTGGACCTGGCAGCAGCATGAGGAGGCGGTACAGGGGCGCATGACAGATTACGAGCCTGGCAGCAGCAACTTGGACAGGAGGACGTTCAGCTTCTGCACCGTCTGGTGCGTGCTCGCAAACTGTTGTCTCTTGGAAACGGATTCCAAGAAAGACTGCTGACGGAATCCGTGAAGAGGAGTAGCAGGAGAAGGAGCATCTGAACGAGCGGAAATATGCCAACAAGCGACAACAGGGGCCCATGACAGATTACGGGCCTGGCAGCAGCATGAGGAGTCGGTACGGGGGCCCATGGCAGATTAGGGGCCTGGCAGCAGCTATGGGAGGCCCGTAATCTGCCAGCACCCTATGTCAAAAAATTCTACACACCAGCAGTGTGAGGAGACCTGAAAGTGGCACATGGCAGAGTGTGGCGATGGAGACAGCAGCAATGGGAGGCCGTACAGGGACCCATGAGAGACTCTGGACCTGGCAGCAGCATGAGGAGGCGGTATATAGGGGGCCCATGGCAGATTAGGGGCCTGGCAGCAGCTATAGGGGGCCCGTAATCTGCCAGCACCCTATGTCAAAAAATTCTACACACCAGCAGTGTGTGAGGAGACCTGAAAGTGGCACATGGCAGAGTGTGGCGATGGAGACAGCAGCAATGGGGGGGAGGCCGTACAGGGACCCATGAGAGACTCTGGACCTGGCAGCAGCATGAGGAGGCGGTATATAGAGGGCCCATGGCAGATTAGGGGCCTGGCAGCAGCTATGGGAGGCCCGTAATCTGCCAGCACCCTATGTCAAAAAATTCAACACACCAGCAGTGTGTGAGGAGACCTGAAAGTGGCACATGGCAGAGTGTGGCGATGGAGACAGCAGCAATGGGAGGCCGTATAGGGACCCATGAGAGACTCTGGACTTGGCAGCAGCATGAGGAGGCGGTATATAGGGGCCTATGGCAGATTAGGGGCCTGGCAGCAGCTATGGGAGGCCCGTAATCTGCCAGCACCCTATGTCAAAAAATTCTACACACCAGCAGTGTGAGGAGACCTGAAAGTGGCACATGGCAGAGTGTGGCGATGGAGACAGCAGCAATGGGAGGCCGTTAAGGGAACCCATGAGAGACTCTGGACCTGGCAGCAGCATGAGGAGGCGGTATATAGGGGCCTATGGCAGATTAGGGGCCTGGCAGCAGCTATAGGAGGCCCGTAATCTGCCAGCACCCTATGTCAAAAAATTCAACACACCAGCCACCCTATGTCAAAAAATTCAACAGCACATGGCAGAGTGTGGCGATGGAGACAGCAGCAATGGGAGGCCGTACAGGGACCCATGAGAGACTTGGACTTGGCAGCAGCATGAGGAGGCGGTATATAGGGGCCTATGGCAGATTAGGGCTGGCACGCTATGGGGGGGCCCCTACTGCCACACCCCAG